CGCGCCGCGCACCGATAGCGGACCCTGTTTTTCGTCCGGCTCGAGGGAAGAGGAAAGGAAAAGGGGGGGGGGTGAGGGCCCGTCCCTAAATACCCCCGCCATCGAGTCAGTGCGAGGGCAGCGGCCGCGCGCGGCCAGGCGCTGTGACGGCACCTAATTGCATTAAGTTGGGTCGCCGCACCGCCACTGGTTTAACACACTACGAAGAGCCGGGCATAAATACCGTAACGTCAGCTTAGTTTTCATTTTCTTTTTTATCCCCACATTATATATTGATTGACACCGCGGAAATGAATCAGGGGAGGAAGAAGGTCCGTGATTGTGACGCAAGCTGTGGGCTCGGGGTGACGGTGGTGGTCCAGGCCATCTCGCCCCCCCGTGACGACGGGACAACAAAATGGGACTGTCGTCACTAACCATCCTATGGCCGCCCACGTGACACTCACTCGGCACGCAGTCACCCAGCCAGCCGGGCAAGTTGGCAGCGCAACTCGTCACATACCTGAAACGAAAACCAAACAAAAACGTTAGAGAAAAAATTATAAAACGTTTTAGCACAACTTCGCAGACAATAAGTTAAACAAAATAACGTAACCATGTTCTGCTGTATAATTCAAATATATTTTCGAAGAGGCCACTCTGTTCTTTATTTCAACCCCCCCCCCCTCTTTTTGCCCCCCCCACGACCGAAGGCAAACGGCCCTCTCTACCTAGCCCCCCACCGGAAGTGGCCGTATCTCAGTTAACGGAGTTACGAGTCCAGTCGGTTCAGCCCGTGCCGTGCCGCTCCGGTCGACACCTCCGCTGCGCCGCGCTGCGCCGCACCACGCCACTCAGCGTGACCACATCGCCATTCTTTTTACTGCCCCCTTCCCCCTCCCCTCTTTTCCCCTCAAGAGTCAATGAACTGCCCTCCTCCAACTGGACATGACAAAACCATACAACGAGCGCGCGCCACGTTAAATAATAAATCATGAAAAGTGAAAAAGGAAAAAAGGCAGGCGGCGCAAAATCTGCGAACTTTTCCCAAAAGCGCAGCTAACTTTTCGTTTGTTGCATCATGTAGTCGGTGCGGTGGCCGCGTGGCCCGTAAATTCAAATGACCTCCGAGGCTTTCGTCCACAAACACAATTTTGTTTTTCATATACCGCCTGCCATTAAGGCGCTCTGCCTCTCTCTCTCTCTTTCTCTCTCGAAACGAAATGAGGGGTAAAGAGGTCGATTCCCTTTCATGGTTCGGCTCCCTCTGGTCGTCGTTGGCCTTATACGACCGACTGATACACTCTCTACACGACCAAATCCTCGCGTACAGTGTCGGGTTCGGGCCTTGCACAGGGGTCATTGAATAACCTATCGACTGCTTGGGGTAGGAGGGGGGGGGGGTTGGGGCAGGATCCATCGCAGGACCTCTTCAGGCCGCAGATCCCCCGGTGGGTGTAATGGCAACGGTTATGTGCGGCAGGCCGGCCCCACCAGGCCCACCACCACCACCATGGCGGGGGCGGCCGTGGTGTGCAGGGCCGCGCTGCGCCACCGCGCGGAAGTTCGCCAATTGATCGCCAAGTTGAAATCACCAGGGAGCCACTGCGGGGCGGGCGGCGGAGGGCTCGCAGCAGGCAGGGCGCTGGACCCGAGATTGGGACGTTCACAAATCACAATGTGCCGTTTGAGAAGGACTGAAACGCACTCTAAAAGAGAAAATTATCACGGTTTCAGTTGGTTTCAACAACAAGGTGGACAAAAGATCCGAACACAATCAGTTGCAAACCTTATGACCATCGTAGTTGTAGAAGAGACGAATGTCGTAAAGAAGCCATTCCAACGATCGACAAAATGTTGTTGGTCCAATGACATTAAAAAAAAAAAATGAGTGCGGACGTCTTGTCTTTTGCATGATGCATATCAGAAACTGGCCACTCCCAACGGAACTAGCAGCGAGGCGACCAGGATCCTGGTCCTCACCTCACTCGAGTGAGGTGGAGCAGGGCAAAACGAAGCAGAAATACGGCACACCATCACGGCTGTGGGTAAATTATTTCCCGTCGTTCATTCCTTTCCGGGGAGATGGGGCAGGTGGGGAGGTGCGGGGAGAAAAAAAAAAGGCGTTGGAAGTAGGCCGGAGCGCAGCCCGCCCCGTTCGCGCCCCGGGATCAAAGGTGCTGAGCTGTGACAGGCAAATCATCCGTGCAATGGCTCCCTGTTGTGTTGGCACAACCTGTGCTTTCCCTGTGTCGCTCTACTAGCGCCACCTAGCGGTCACTGTGTCTACTTCGTGACCCGCCCGGCTCCGGCCGCTCATTCAACCGGTGCGATGCACCTGGTGTTGATCTCTCTGTAGCTCTTACTTTTGGTTGTCAATAAACCTCTGGAACTACAAATGTTAGTGTCGCTCTTTCCAACATCCGCGAACACTACACTCCCACAGCCCGGCCGCCCGCACCCCGTAGTACAGCACAGTTTGGGCGGTGTCGAGCGGGAGGGGACGGGGAGGGATCGCGTCTCCGCCGCCGCTAATGCGCTGTCGTACCGCCCAGCCAATGACTCGGAGATAAGCGTTTTCAATTTGCTGCTCGCGGCAACTTTCCGCCGCCGTCATCGACGGCCACAAGAAAGAGGCGTCATCTTATCGACCTACATGTTTCATTTTATTTTTTTATTTTGTTCTGCTGCTGTTTCAAGCGCAACTTTTTATTCCTTATTGTTTGCTCCTTTACGATCTCTGTGATGTTGGAGTTGGAATGTCGGGCATGATTCTCTTAGCCCAGACTAATTTCACGTCAGTCGGCGTTTTACTCGTCGCCGTCGAACTACAATAAAACGGTAGAGACGATGAAACTGGATGAGCGGCAAGATGACAATGATATCCGACTCCATGAGTCCTTCAGAAGGTCCACTCCCATTCGGTGCGATTCATAATATTACACAAGAACAAGCAGCGGCGTCGCGCGGTGGAGCCGGTAGGGCTCGAGCGAGCCCGCCGGGTCCGCCCGCCGCCCGGTCCGCCCCTGCGCTGTGCCGCTCGCTCGCTGCCGCTTCACTGCCGCGGGGGCGGCTCGGGGGCGGCGGGAGTGGGAGGAGGGAGGATCCGCTCCCAACGAGCCCGTCGGCAAACAGAAATGGAAAGACCCACAAACACGATAAACAAATGCCATGCGCATCGCGACGCGAGGAGTAGAGGAGAAGGGGGTTGGGGGTGGAGTAGGGTTCCTGCTTTATCAATCATGATGGCCGTTTTGGGGCAGTTGGGGAATGTTTTACCAAACGGAAATAAAAAGGATCGGCGCCGAAAGGATCTCGGCATGATGAAGTGGGGATTGAAAGGGATGGCAAGCGTCAGCCCGTCGTCTGAGCACTTGTTGAATTTATATACGTTATACGTATTATTACCAGCGTCGTTCCTTTTCATACCCTGCTGGTGACAGTGCACGGTTGTTTACCCGGAGAATTACCCGCTCCTACCGGCAGTGCACACGCGGAGCTGCCCTGGGGAGGGCAGCTAAGAGCCAGAGGACAAGACACCGGAGCCGCATCCGGCCTCCACGGAAAAAAATACGTCAGTTGCGACAGCTAAACATTAGCTGCAATAGCTAATATGTTAACTGTCTAGGCACTAACTAACGGCGTTAGCTAAAA